TGACGAAGATGAGGGTCTGCCTCCGCGCACGGAGCTGCCTGGGGAAGGCAGAGCGGGTGAAAAAGCAAGAAAACCCCCAAATCTTCCCTCTCAGGCGAAGGAAAGAGCTTCACGGATCGCGCTGCTCTCAGGCCCGAGGATTTAAACGGGCCTTTTGTTCACCCCGCGCGAGGAAGGAAAACCACAGCCCTCATCGCGGTCTCCCCGCGGGCTTCCCTCCTCCGACCGCCTGCGCGGGGTTCCATTTAAAACAACAGCCGAGGCACAAACCGCTTGGCAAACGAGCCCGTACAAGCCTCGGCCTCGAAGGCACGCCGGGAGGGAGCCACGTAGGAGGACGCGGCTTCGGCGGGGAAAAACGGGGCCTGGGAGCGCGTGAAATGAGGCGTAATATTTGGCTAGCCAGCTCCTTCGCTTTTCCACTCCGCAGCGAGTTTCCTCTGCCCAGAAACCCACTCGTGCCGTTAAAACCGGAGACTTTGCTCCCGTCTGCCAGGCCGGCGACTGTCGAAGGCTACGGCGAGCCGGGGAATAAAGGGATCAAAAAAAAAAACCAAAAAAAAAAAAAGATGTGATTATTTGGCGTCGGGACAGCGCCGGCACCAGCTTTACCTGGATTTGCTTCAGGAGTTTGGGTATCTGCTTGCAGTTCAGCTTCTGGCAGGCTTGCTTGTAGGCGGACATGATTTCATCGACAGTCACGTTCTGGGCTGGAAAAGCGAGAATTGAGGTTGCGTTTGCGGGAATCGACACGTGCGCGGTTTCCCCCCCCCCATCGGATGCCGCTATCCGCCGGGATTTACACCCGGCAAGGAGAGGACAAGGATTACGGATGTTCAAACGCAAGGGAACGAAGGAAAACCGGCGCGGGGCTCGCTGGAACGCGGCGACGGGAGCAAGCCCCGTCTCGCTCGGGCGGAAAAGGGGGATGGAGGCCGCAGCCGGCGCCTCCCGCCTCCTCCAGCCGCGCTTTGGCGCGAGAGCCGCTTTTTTGGGAGCGGAAAAGCTTTTTGGATGACAAAGCCGCAGGTTGCTGCGGTGGTTAATAAACAGCGTTGTGAAATACGTTCTTCTTGCTTTTAGTTTTGTTCCAACTTTGGTTTTTCACTCGATCGGGCACGGAGCCGGACACGGCGCATCCAGCCCAGCGTATAAGCCCAAATTTTCCCTCATCGGCTTCCGGAGCAGCGCGCGGAGGACTCGGGAGTCAGCCGGCATCACCGAAACATCGGCTAAAAACTCCCAGAGTTGTCATCCTCTGGTAAATACATCCTCGAAACGCGGCTCCTCGTTCGGAAGCCGCGGGAGGGGGGTTTTGCTGCCGTCACCGCCGCCGAGCACGGCTCCTGTCCTAACCCGGGGATATCCCCGCCGCTCCCGGATGCGGGGGAAGCCGATGCGGGCGGCGGGAGCTGCCGCGGGATCATTAGCCACGTGAGGTCGATGCCCACCTCCGCTTTTGGCCTGATTTCGGTTCGGCGAGCGGCCCGAATAAACACGAAAGCCATCCCCGGTCGGGGAGACGATCTGGAGAAACCAGATTCTCCAGGAATCTCATCTGGCAGAGCACGAAGCAACCCCCACCCCGCTCGCATCCCTGAGGATTACGACATCCAAAGAGCTCGATAAAAACCTCACCGCTCCACCGGGGGGGGGAAATAAATACATGGATTATTGTAACCTTTTCCCCGTTCCCAACAAACCCGTCGGGCATCTCTGCAAGCAGGACGTGGGCAGACGCGTGGCAGAGGCAACGCCGCGCCCCGGCTCAAAATCCAGGCCAAAAAACCCCAAAATACGTTAAGGTTAGCGAGGGGATTAGCAGCGCGCTGCGACGTTTCTGATCCCATCTGCCAGGTGAATGCTTTCCCCCCCCCAAAATCAAATAAAACCAAGCGTGATTTTGGCAAAACGAGGAGAGCGAAGGAGAGTCGCCGCTGTCCTAACGCGGACGAGCGGCCCGGGAGCGCCAGGGCTCAGGGTGATCCGAAGATCCGCGAAGCCGCCTCCAAAATATCCCGCCTGAAGGATTTCTCCCCAAACCTGACCTCAAGCGCGCTTTGTTCATCTTGGTTTTATCAGTTCCCGGCTGTAAAACGCTTCGCCCTGCCCTCTCCTGGGTGGAAGCCCTCCATTTTAACAGCCCTCGTTGCTGGAGGACGGGGATTTGCTTCGGCTTCCCCGGCGCGTCCCCCTTCCCACCTCGCGGCGCTCGCCGAAAAGCCGGCGGGAAGAAGCAAGGGGCCTCGCGAGCTGCTTCCGACGTCCTTCTTCGCGCGGAGACGTCCCCGTAACCGGCGATCCCCGCGGCGTTTTCTGCCACGAGATCGCCCAGCCGGTCCGTAACCCTGCCGCCACGGCTCCGGATCACCTCGGTGGGGCTGCTGGTAGGAGCAGCTGGGATTTGGTCTCGGTTTCGCTCTCCCAAAGCCTTTAAGGAGGTTGAACGCCAACACGGAGCTTCGGTTCTTCTTCCTCCACGCCTCGGGCTTCGCTCCCAGGCCGTCCTGCTCTTCTGAACCTCAGCTCCACGCAAAAACCACTGGTTTTGCCCCAACGATGCTGCCTTAGCATCGGCGCCGAGACGCTCTGAGGGAATTTCCTCGCTAGGTATCAGGGGTTTTAAGGAAAAAAAGGATCTTGGCGCCGGTTTTTCGAGCGTCCCATCCCCGTTCCTCTTCTCCCCCTTCGCCAAGGGCCGCTCTCCCGCCCGTTTGCGGGAACGAAGCCTATTAATAGCTCCCGTTTCAGCTCTCTCTTGCGGCTCACCAGCAAATATCGGCAGCGTTTGCACCATCCGCCATCAAAACACCCTTGAAATTCCTGGGAAAAGCCTTTTTTTTCTGTTGGCCGAGCAGTTGGGGAGACGAGGGTGGAAGCCGATCCCGCGGCACGGCACGCCGTTTTCAGCTGCGCCGGAGCCGGCGGAAGGGTTTTCCGCCGCCGCCGCCGTCTGTAAAACAAAGCGGAGCTGTTCTGCAAACAGGTTCGATAAAATCCATATTTACACACGGTTGGGCGGGCGACTCGAGCGAGCAAAGCGACTCCGGGCTCGGGTGCGATTATCCGCGGCTTCAAATATCTGGTTTTAGGAAGAGGAGGCCGGAGACCGCGCCGTTTTCCATTCGGAGTTAACTACCTCCGTAATTAATCTCTTATTGCTCGGGGGGGATTAAGAGCCGAAGAGCGATAACGCGGGCATTTCCCAGCCTCTTGTGTAACTCGAGGTGTTTCATCCGCTGATTTTCTACTAATTTTTACCGCCGGCTTCACTGGGAGCCGCTCCAGCGACGGCGCGGGGAAACGTAAACCGCGGCGGCTCAGCCGGCGAGGCACCGGCAGAAAGCCTGGAAAATTCAGAAAAAACCCCCAGACGCGGTCACGAATACAAGTTTAAAATGCGAATAACGCTTCTTCCTGCGAAAAAACAACAACGGCCTCGTGCCGTTCTCCTCCTCCTGGGCACCGAAAGCCCCGTTTATGTCTGTTTTGCACCGTTTATGTCTGTTTTGCCCTTAATTACGAGCTCTTCGGGGCTCTTTTTGCTCCGGCTCTCTGCGAGGAGCCCCCGGGGGTGCCGCAACTCGGGCGGCACCAAATCCGGATCCCCGAAGAGGGATCCCAAGAGGGATCGACCCTTAAATCCTATTAAAACCCGGCGTTTCCGTGCCCGCTCGGCCCGCGGCGGGTTTCGCTTCACCTCCTCCTCCGTCCACGTCCGACCCCGGGACGACGCGAGGCCAAAGCAAACAGGTCGTTATTTATTAACGGGCGGCGTTCGCTGCCGGCTGCGGACCGCTCCTCAACCTCCAGCGCCGCGGAAGAGGAGAAAAAACGGATTTTTCGCAGGCTCAGGCCGCCTTTTGCTTCGTTTTGCTCGCTTCGAGCCGGCGTCCCGGCAGGCAGAGCGTAAGGAAAAGGCGGCGAAAGCCGACGTAGGCAGCAGGGACGTCGCCGTCCCGGCGGCGCTCGGGGAGTTACATCCCAAAAATCCCATCAGGCAAGGAAGAGGCGGTGACTTTAATGCGATTTCATGGAATGATTTACCTCCATCCCCCAGGTCACTGAATGAGATCTCGTAACTCTTTGCCTCCGCTCGGGAGCATCCCGCCGTCGCTTGCCCCGACGCCCGCAGCCGCCCAGGCTTCGTCGCCGCCGGTCCAAACCGAACACGCCAAGACCTCGAACGCTCGTGGGCTTTCACGCCGCCTCTGGGCTTTTCCACCCGTGTTTTCCACACCCGCTCCTTCGCCGCTGTCGTTTCCCGGCTGCATCCCGGGGAAATCAGGGGAAGACGCCTTTCCCTTCCGGCAAAGACGGCAGAAGACGCGTCTCGACGGCACGGGAAGCCTCTGGCTCCTCTCCCCAAGCGTGGAGATCCCGAGCTTTCGAACGAAGCAAAGCCGTAGGAGGAGGGAAAGGAAATAAAGGGGCATTTTTCCCCCCGCCTCGTCTTGCGCTCCGGCTCATTTCCCGACAAATAACGCGCCCACAAACGTGCCCGCGGAGCGCCGGCGCGGCAGGGGAGCCTGGCAAGTCGAGAGAGACGGATGGCAGCGGCCAATATCCCCCTCTCCGGGCGTATCTGGCGCTTATCCCACCCTAGCCAACCCCCCGGGCCTGCACGGGCTTAAATCAAGACAAGATTCGTCGGAAAACAAGCTGGGGGGAAAAAAAAAAAAAGGGATGAGTTTTCGGACAGAGCGTCGGCGGAGCCGGCGGAAAGCGTTGTAATTTAACCTGAGGCGGAGCCGGGCGAGGCGGCGGAGAGGCCGGTACCGCAGCCTGGCAAGGAAGAATTAAAAGCAGAAATAATGAATTTTAACCGGCGAGGTTTCGGAGAAAGGAGGGCTGACGGACGGAAGCCGATACGGGGCCGTAGAGAGGCCGCTTATCCAGGAGCTCTGCGGGATCAGGATGCTTTAAAGGCGCAACGGGGTAAAAAAAAAGGTAAAAAAGGTGAAATATTTAATAAAAAAAAAGGCAACGGTGCTCGATTTGGTAAGAAAGGCGATGCTATAAAGGCACCGAGCGCCCTCGGCGCCCAAGCGGGGTGTTTCTGCGCGAGGCGACGTTCGGATATCGGCGGTTTTAAAAAAATACCCGAGGGAGCCGCCGGCCGTTCGACGACGCCGGCGACGCTCTGAACGCGCCTCCTCCGTCGCGCCGCTTCGCGTCGGTCCGCCAAGCGGAGAGGACGGCCCAAACCGACGGGCGAGCGGCGGCGTTGCCGAGCCCCGCGCCACGTGCCGCCCGGCAAAACCGGCCCTGCCGGTACCGGCTGGGGAGGAGACCTCGGCTTCAAGTAGCCAGAAGGAAATTAAACAAGCAGAGGCGCGTCCGTCGGAGCAATTTCAGCCGACGAATGATGAACGAGAGGTAAATAAAGCCCCGAATAAAAACAATTATTATCCACACGTGAGAGGAAGAATAAAAGCGGCGTCACGGGCAAGGCGCTCCCCAAGCCAAGGGAAAGGCGGGTTCCGGCTGCCGGCTCTGCCCCGAACCACGGAGCCGCGGCGATCGGCGGCGGACGGGATTCCTCTCTAATTAGCGAGGGGAAATTTGCTTTCAAACTGTTTCACCTCAAACTTCAGCCCCTGAAAGCAAAGCTCCCCGACGGGGAAAGCCTCGAGCTCCAAGCCGGCGCGCCCGGAGCGTCGGGAAAGGCGAGCTGGGCTGAGGAATTCGCCCCTGCCGGGCTCCCTTTGGGATACGGCCGGGAAGAGAGCGGCTCGTTGGAGAGCGCCGGCCGTTTTCCGGAGCAGCGGAGGAGATGTGGGGGACGAGCCCCGGGTTTGCTTTGCCGGGCGAACGTCACGCCTTCATCCGGAGTGGGATCAGAGCGGCGGAAATTGCCTATTAACCGCGCTGGCAGGACACAAACCCAACAAAAACGCTTTAGCGAGCCGGTTTTTTCCCATTCCTGGAGGTATTTCGTGGAGGCGTCCGGCCTTGCGACGAGCCGGCTAACGCCGAGCAGCAAAACCAGAATCCATCGGTGCTACGCGGCGAGATCTGGCGCCTTTTAGGCCGCGTCCGACGGCCGCGCAGCGCAACCGGAACGGGACTGGAAAAAACTCGGGAGAACCCCAATTTCTGGCTTGCGACGCAGTAAAAATAAGAAAAATGGAGGCGCGGGTGCCGGTTACCGATGATTTTCGGTGGCGGGTGCCGTGGCGGTTCGGTTTGGGATAGAGGAACGCAGCTCGCGGTGCAAACCCTGGCGAGGAGCGGCCGGCGAGGAGCTTTAGGCATGGCGGCGCTCGTACCGCGGCGCGGCGTCCCTTTGCCGCGTCTCCGGCC